TCAGAGTTTTCCTTCTCCTAGATGGGCTGCCTTCCATGGCTGACGAGCCCCACCTACCCAGCCTGCTCTTTAATTCCTCTCTCCCTACATGTCCAGTTAACTCCAATTTATGCAGAGAAACTGAATTTCCCAGGTGCAACTTCAATTCACATCTTTCTCACTGTTTAGTCACACCCCAAGAAAGTCACATTATTCAGTTAAAGAATTTTATATCGTATCCTGTTTTGTCACTCACAAATTTCCATATATAACTGCTTGGACCCAAATCAAACTGTTAGTCTCAACTACAACAGACCCATTAATCAAAAGTACCTACATAACTGTTAACTTGCCAAGTTTTATTAATTCAATGGGTCTATTCTAGTTGGGAGTAACAATTATATATAGGCCTTAATGCTTGACAGTAGCTTTTGAGGATACAGAGCTCTTCAGTTGCTTTAAAGAAATATACCCCCTTTTTTTGGCTTGCAGGTTTATTATATTGCGCCTATCCTCTGCTATGGACAACACACATCTGGTTCAATTTATTCAGAATCTGGAGGAGGTCATCTATAACGCTATGGTGAAAGTAGTATTGTATCATAAAAAAGAAGATCCCTACACAATACTCATTGAAATCTTTCTCTCTAAAGAACTGAACTTGGAGCTTCAGAGTCTGCATGAAGAGGGATACTGTGGCCCTCCCGAGCCCTCTCAACCATTCAAAATGAGAGAGGGAGAGCAAGTTCATTTTAGATTTAGTGGAAATATTTTTGCTTCAGGTAAACTGATTTTCTGTTGTGTAAATACATTCTGTACCTTGGTGCCTCTGTAAAATGTACGGATAATGCTGATTTTGGCCTTTCATGTGAGCTTTACATCTTCTCATTCCTTCTACAATATGCATTTCCCTTTGTTGTGTATCAGATTTGTTTCCTCACCTCTGGTAATATCCACAGCTTTTCTGACAACTCATAGCACTCAGGTCCCATTTATAGATTAATTGGTAACACAAGCAAAATCAAGTGGTGAATAGTGTGTGTGTGTATGTATGTCTCTGTGTGTGTGTGTGTGTGTGTGTGTGTGTGTGTGTGTGTCTGTGTAAGAACCACTGTGTGGACAAATGCACCACACCTTTCTTCCTTGATTTTTAACGAATTGTGTAATAGATAGTCCTAATTTTCTATCATCATAATTTTTATTCACATAAATTTTATTTATTTAGTATGTCAATGTTTGTTTAATAAATGTTAAATTCATCATATGATTTTTTTAAAACAAGCATTAATAGACTAAAATACAAATTTATGAAAGCATTAAACATTGAGTTTTCATTAAAAATGAAAACAATCACATGCAATTCATTGATCTATGAACTTTGTCACTTGCGCAATGACTGGTTCAAGCCCTGAAGCATAATAATCCTAGGAGACTCAAAACAGCAACCAGGAAATGACTGGATAACTGGATATATTAGATCATTCCAGCTGCTTAGTAAAAAGTACAGTAGAAATGGATATGCAGATTTTACCTTGATGTTGTCATAATACTGTGTTTAAAATACTTGAATGAATAATTGGCATATTAAATGTTTTTCAAAGAAATATTGATCTATAGTATTAATGTGGGCCATCTTCTCTATTTTGCATTGCACTTGTGCAGATGATGGAACTGATTTTGGAAAAACCTACAAGCTTACTTTTCATGCTCAGAGAAAGCCAAGGCTGGTCCTCAAAATCAAGGAGATAGATGAATTTGGCAACTACAGTTCGCCTCATTACAAAGGAACTGTCTTATGTTACATAGTTAACAAAGAAACCATAGCCAAGAACTTGGAACAACCTCTTTCACTAGATGACTTCCAGCATCAGCCCCCTCTCTGCAAGCTGGTTCTCACTTTACCAAAGGTTGGTTGTTTAGTCACCCAGTTTTAACCTTGTGATATATAACAAAGTATGCTAGCCCAAGGCCTATTCTAGAGTATTTGCTGTATGAAGCAAAAACCAAGATGCAATTCCCACCCAATAGAAAAGCCAACTGGACTGTCAGCTGAACCTTACTGTAACACTGACAACACCTAAGTCAGAAGGCTAATTTAGAGGGTGCAGGACAAGCTGTTTTCTAATAAAGGAGGAGGAATGGAGGAAGAGAGGCTGTCACTGATCTTGTAGTATCTACTACCTGAGGTTGTTGTCTTTCTCGACCTAATAGAAGAGCCAGACCTATCCAACCCTTTGTTTTCCAGAAAAAAGGTAGGGAGATTTGTAAGTTAAGTCTTTTTATTGATGACTGACTAAATCTAGGTTTACTCTATTATGGAGACGAGTAAATTTGTATATGCTGATGAAGAATAAATTGATTCTAGACACAGACATGCACAGCAAGTAATTACATTTATATAATTAAAATATGCCAAATATCAGCATAAAGAACCCGTCACGAATCATACTACTTCATTCATAAAGAACCCGGTCTCTATCAGAAATGTTGCCACCTGAATGAAGCAAAGCACATTTTGCTCTTCTTACAAGCCTGCATGCTCTTTACACACAATGTTCAGTTTCTTCCTGGATTGGATTAGAACCTGAAGGAGTTGCTAGAAGTTGCAGACAGTCCTTTGCAGAGAAGAACTGAGCCCTTGGGTAGAGGAACTGATTTCCCCTTGCCACTTGATTCACTAGAAATGAAGGGGCTGAGAATAGCTGGCAGCAGGAGAAAATACAGTGACCACTCCCTGCTATCCCTTTCCTAAAGCATTATACCTCTCCCCAAACAACGTACCTTGGGAATGCTGGGAGAATATATCAAGCATCAGGAAAAGGCCAGAAGCCGTGAGAGGGGCATTTAGCAAGCAGGAGATGACACACAGGTTGGTCTCGTCTCCATTTTGGGAATCATGGACTATATGTCTCATGATTCCCTCACAGGAAGTGAGCCACACAGCATCATTTGAAGCTGGAGAAGCTCAGAGGTCCTTCCTGTCTCAAAGTAATGAAAACATAAATTTGCAGACCACAACTATAGGAAAAGTGAATATAGATATATAATTGTCCCTTAAGGGCCTCCATTACTACAACCTCCTCTAGTTGTAGTATTGGGAAATCTGAGATCCAATCCTAGGTCCATCAGGAACTCACACTATGTGACCATGTGCCAGTCACAATCCTTTTGGCTAACTTACCTCATAGAGTTTCTGTGAAGATAACATGAAATGTACACAGATGCCAAATGATTGAGTTACACTGCATAGAACTATTCTGGGAAAAGGGTAAGATTAAAATGTAAGAAAATAGTTGCTTAATTTGGTACTTGGCATTGCTGCACTGATTGTTTATAACAGAAAAAAGCTCGGGTTTTGTTCACTTCATTTTTCAGTTCTCTGATTCTCCCAGTAATCAGTTTTCCCTGTCTCAATATGTTCTATCATATAGAAGGAGAAGCTTATCAAGCGCCCACAAAGCACAAAAAGAATCTCGGCTGATTTCTCAGGTAAGGCTTCTCCCACAGCAAACAGTGTTATCCTCGCATGTTTACGCAAAAGTTCTACTGAGTTAATGGAAGTGAGTGAAAGCGGTGTGCCAGTAGCCAGGCTATTATGCAGCCTTACTGAGGTTTGCAAATCTCAGTTGTTGCTTCTCTACATGTTTTGCAAAGGGCATGTTTTTTTCAGTGGAAAAATGGCAGACAGGAAAGTGGTGCTTTCTCTGCAATCTCACGAGTTCCACTCTGCTAGTGGACTATGTGGTGTCATCTGCCAGGACCTTCCTAAGATGTTACGCTGCCTGAGCAGACAGTGGCACTGCACCCACCTTGGTCAAGGTGCATATACAGCCCAACACAGGCCAAGTTATTCTGGTAAATGAGACATACAATTCCACAAGTACCTCTTCCCCAACATTGACAAAGTCCAATAATAATGAAGTAAATAACTAAATGTTCCCTGTCCTTTCATGATTCACTCCATATCCCTATGTGGTTGGTTTTGTTGAGTTAAATGGAATAACTGAAAAATGGGCTGGGAGTCTGGAACAGGATCACAACAGGAGAGAGAGAGCTCAAACCTTCCCCTTGGGTGATATTTATGTGAAAAACAGCAATCTGTGTAACAGCCAGTTCCATGAGAATCATCATATCCATTTTGTGTCTGCACAGTGACTGTTCTTTATTTTAGGAATAAAAGAAATTTTCCTTCCCATCTTTGCAGGGATCATTTTTAGAATTCTTTAAAGTATAGTTAAATTTATTTTTTTAAAAAAATGTCTTTATAAGATAATGTTTTGACTAACAGAGGCCCTGTGGGACAACTTACTGTCCTGGCTGTCGCAAGAGCTGTCAGAAGATGAAGCCTCATGCCTCGCTCTCTGTCTGCCTCTCCACCGAAGTACTCTCCAGCTTATTAAACTGAAGTGCCCTGATAATCTCAGTGCACAGATCTATGAGCTCCTGTGCTTCTGGAAACGAAATCTTCCAAGATCTGCTGACAAGCTCCAACTCCTCTCTCGCTATCTCTCCAAGACAGGCAGAGGGGATCTCGTAGAAGAACTACGATTCCAGTGGGAAAACAAAATATTTGAGAGGAGAACCTGTTGATAGACATGCTTCATTGGGGCCTGATAATGTACACTGATTTCTTTACTGGGGGGGAGCATCTGCTTAATAACTTTTTAAAAAAACTTCCTTAATGACATTCTTTGTCAGACTTAAATACTGTTTTTAAAATGTGTATTTTAAAATATTTGAATTTTCTTCATTTGCCAAACAGTACAGGAGAAGGGAGCTTTCGGATAACCAGATGTTTGTGATATAGTTCCCATAAATCCTTACCCCTGACCATACTGACTGAGATCAGAATTCCCCAGTTCTCCATGAATGCATCTCTTTTTGCCAGGATTGTGACCATAATTATTATATATCAGGTTAAGGAGATGACAGTCAAAAGACCCCAGGGTGAACCATTACAAGGTACAGTGTGAGAGCAAAACCCTGCAGATGCAATTATTCTGAACATATTTGAATTATTTCAGTGCTAACATGCAGTATCTACTCAGAAGTACTTTCCAATGGAGCTTACTCTGAAATAAATGGACACAGAACTGCAGCCTTAAAATTATTACAAAATAATTTGTAATAAAGCTCATTTGACATATGTATGTTAAATTAAGCTCATTTGACATATATATGTTAAATTAAGCTCATTTGACACATATATTTTAAAGGAGAACCAAGTGATTGTAAAAATGTTAATCGTCATAGTGACTCTTCACTAATTGACCAGAACACCTGAAGATGGCATATAGTTCCTATTTCTTACCTCATTGAGGGGAGAAAAATTAAAAAAAAATTAAGTGCTCAGATTTAGAAAGATAAAGGATTTTACCTGAAAAAAAAGTTGCATATTCTGAGGAAATATTTGAACACTGCTGAGGAGCTAGATCCCATATCCTTCCCATAATAAGGATCCCATATAATTTGTCTGTATGTCCAGTAGACAAGAATAATAACTAGGGTTTTGTTCAAAACATTTAGATAGCAACATATTGCCTGTCCCTGATGTAAGAAAACAATATTCATAAACTCTAGACCCAGAGTTGCCCAACCTGGGGAACCATGTTCTGGACAGGTCGAAAGGAACTAGCTGCCTCCTAGGGCATATTGAGCTTTCCCCATGCCACTGATCAATCTCTACCATATATCCCCAGTATAGAGAAAGACTACATGTTTTTTATGATGGGTTGTATCAGCATGGAAAAGAAAGATGGCTTTTTGTCATGAATCTGATCTCGAAAACGGATCTCTTGTCTATGAAATATTTTACATTTCTCCTTACTTCATTATTATAGCAAGACTAGGGAACCTCAGAGGTTTTTGGATTCCAACTCCTGTCAGCCAAAGCCAGTGTGGACTATGGTCATGAATAATGGGAGCTGTAGTCCAAAAATATATCTATAACACTGTAGTGAAGTGTTTTGTTGGGCCATATTTTTACAAGCCTGCAAAATTCATTTTGATTCCATGTAGACAAAACACATGTGGACACTATAATTTGATTTGAACCGAACAGCACCAAAAGTGATTCAAATTGAGAACTTATATACCCATCTGGACATGATCTCAGATGAAACCTTCAGTACAAAATATATTTCAGCTTTTACGTTGATTTAGAAGTACTTGCGTTTAACCACAAGATGGCCTCAGTGTGTGCTTTTCAAATAAAAATGCTATTTACAGTACTTTTGTTTCAGGTTAGAGGAAATAAAGAATACCTTCACTTCCCCCTACAATTCAAAATCTGTCAGGGCATGTTCCACACTGATTTTTTGTCAGCAGCATTACCATTTAGAAACAACCAATATATTGCGCAACACTCTGATATGAATAAAGAAAGAAAGACCTAGTTACTACAAGGATTTCTTTTTGCCTCTCAGATTATAAAGCTTTAAGGCCAAATATAGTAATATAAATATTGCAGACTTCTCCCTCCATTGCTAGTCAAACCTCAGAGACAGCAAGGGCTGAAGCACCCAGTGGTTAATGCTTGCTGCCAGCTCCTCAGAAAGGACATGACAAGCCTGGAGTCAGGAAAGGAAAGAATCCATCACAGGCTTGTGGCTGAGCCTAGGAGAGTGTCCTGTCTCTTCTACCCTATCACAGACTCTGCCCAAAGCTCTCTTCAGGGCTCTGATGCAAATTTAGAATGGCACAACATCATTCACAGCTGCTTGCGGGGAAAGTTTCCACACAAGCACATCAGACAGATAATTCATCCAGCATTCCAGCTTTGCTGCGAAATACTGTTAGAAATTCAGTGAAATCCTGTTCTTGTGGTGCAGGGGGCCGGGGGGGGGGAATTGATGACTCAAAGGACTGCCCTTCCTCTCAGAAAAATCACCTTTGAGTTGGCTTCTCTTGCTGCCTAAGCTCAGATAGGTTTATTTGCCAAACATGTTCTCCACAACTTAATATCAAACTGTTTCTCCCACATGAAACAAAGGCGTTGCTTTTCACAAAATCAAAAGAGAATTTATATTATTAGAAAGATGACCCTGTACCACTGCGATTTTCAAGATATTTTCCCTCAATACTCCTTCCTGTCATCTCAGCATGTATAACGGGCCTAAGTGTCTAATTAATGTCACAACCAGATGCAATTAACCTAACAGACTTGATCTGAAAGCACAGCATGTGGTAACCTTGCTCAAAGCTAAGTGAACCTGAGGGAAAGTCCAGTGAGCAACTGAAAGGATAACTAATTGAGAGCATTCTGTCAGTCACTCACAAGTTCCATCATAGGGGAAAGATGAGATATAACGAAACAAACATAAGGGCTTGGTTTGTTTTGTTCTGTTTTTTTAAGTAGATGAGACTGGGGGGAAAACTAGATTTATAGGGAAAACATAGGTTGGGAACACTGCATGTTATCTCATAACTTTAACATACAAAGGAATTGCCCAAGATATTTTGCTGCCTGAGCCAGCAGTACCCTCCCAAAATTCTACACACACAATCAAAGCAGACTGACAGCTGCATCTTACTTCACCACTGGAGCTAGGATACTGTCTTTTGTTGCTTCTGGAGGCAGAAAGCCAAATTAGTAGGACGAACTGTATAACAAACAGAAAATATTTGTCTTCTTCTGAGGGGGACTGTTTGGGGGAGTTACCAGTGCCTCAGCCTGAGGCAGTTACCTCACTTTGCCATGTCAGCCAGCCCTGACATTGGGGAATATAAGTAGCTGGTGGATGGGAGATTGTTAAGCACAATCCAATGCGCTGTTAGGTTACCTGATCTTACAGTGGGACTCACCGGAGCAATTGAACTCTTTCCTTATTAATAGGTCTCCTTCCCTAATTAAGTTTTTTTCCTCATTGTTCTATTTGAGACAAAGGCAAAAAAATACGTAAAGGATAGATCAGCCAGCTGGTAGTAGTGCTGAAAAACATAATTAGAAGAATAATATATCTCTTGATGTCACATTCAAAGGTAGTGTATCTCTTCATTTCAGAGCCTAAATTCAAATATTAGGTCCATAGAGCATGTCCACTGAATCAGTAGGATTTAAGAGGTCAACTCTTATATAGACCCCATTGATTTAATTGCTCTATTCTAAGTGGCACTAAATATTAGAATTCTGTCCCAATGCTGAGGACATACAGTGGGTGATATCCCCTGTCTTCATGCCCTGTTGAGGCATATGACTGGCATTTCTGAAAATGAGATGCTGGGTTAAACAGATCTTCAATGTTATCATCACACCCAACACTGTATTGTGTAAACTTTGGTTTTGAAGGTGATACTCAGGGAGTCATATATCTTCTCATTGCCCTGCCAACACCGGAATAAAGACATGAGACAAATAATATGAGTTAAAACACGGGCCACACTTTATTGATTGAAAATTCAAATTTGCCATCCTATGGCAAAGGGGGGAGGGCTGCTGTACTGCGGAAACAGATAAATGGCAGAGGTATCCAAAATATCTCTTAATTAACAGATGGGTGAGTCCCCGGCCCCAGGTTCTAGCAGTCTTAAAGACAGCAGGAACCTGGCTGGCCGCTAATAAACACCCCCAGACCTCAAGCCATCTTTAGTTGATGACTGTTGGTTCAGAAGTGTCCCAACGCATTTCTTCCCCCCCAATCACTGCAATCGCACGATCCACAGTGCTGGGAGGTCCGATGCGCTGTACCTGATCTTACAGTGGGACTCACTGGAAAATACCTGTTTTTTTCCACACTACCCGCCAGTGTGATAAGAATTTCCACCAAAAGTGCCAATGCCCTGTTCCAGTGTGGGATAGGCAAAAAACAAACAAACAAAAAATCCCCCCATCCAACAGTCAATCAGGATGAATGTCAAAAATTCCTATCCAGCCCCAAAGGCAACCAGAAAAATGCACACTAGCGTTAGGGTGGGCAGTTGGGTGCCCACAAAAGAAGAAGGTGGTTCAAGGGAGAAACGCCTCTTAAAATAACCTGGCATTTCCCCCCTCATCCTTTAGAGCTCTTGTGAGGCTTCTCAGTCTAGCATATATACGGGGGTGGAAGGCAAAGAGCCAGCCGCGCTGCCCGAAGCCATGGCTCGTCAGCGGCTGCAGCATATGTCAATAAAGAGGTGTCAGTTGTCATTATGAGAACCCCTTCCTAGCATTCCCCATTAAATTAGTGCCCAATTGAAACTAGCCTCACTTTGTCATGGAATTTTTATATTTCATTCCAGACAAAACAAAAATGCCATCTCATGACTAAGACTGGATGAACAGTGTCAATGGCACTCAGGGAGACTGAGCAGCAAAGGTTGTTCCCAAGGTTGGGGTGGGATTTCAAGGGAAGAGAATAAGGCAAGTGATAAGTACGGTGGGGGAAGAGAGGAAGGGTTAAAAGATGGAAGGAAAAGAACCCCAATGGAGGTGGATTTAAAGAAGGGTGGACCTAGGAAGCAGTGGCCTTGGAAAAGAGGAAGTAGCAAACACTGAGAAGTAAATTATCCAGGAAAGGAAAAGAGAACTGTCCACAGCAAAAAAGAGAGAGAAAGACCGGGAAGGATTCTGAAGAAAGAAGATGAAATTTATAACTGCCAATGAAAGAAAGCTATATATATATATATATATAGAAGGGGAAAGGTTGCATGGGAACATGAGGAGTAGATACTGGGGAGGTCTGAGAGGAGAATTCCAGACAGGCTGCAGTTGTAACCTTGGTCCCTAGCGTCTTTGTAGCTGTCTGTCTTGTTTCCAATTACGTGCAAAATAAAGGGTGCCTTTGAAAAACAGCCTCCTCACTTGGCAAGCTACTTATATAATGCAGCTCAATTCATAGTGACAACAGTTTCACTATGGCACTAAAACATTAAAACATAGTGGTACGATAGCAATCTTAGAATTTCCACACATTGTCTTTTATTGTTACTTGGCAGTAATAACTATGTGTCTATGTCAACCCGAGAGAAAAACTCTGACCGTGCCCAACCTTCTTTTCAAAATTAAAAAGTTCCCTTGTTTTTCTCGGGCAAATAGTAGTAGGAGTGGGGAATGTCAGTAGGATACTACAGTCAATTAAAGACAGTACAATCTGAAGCAGAGATTCTCTCAGCAGTGAGATGGAGTCTGAGATTTGCTGGATTTGATTTCTCCCTAGTAAAAAAGATCTCAACTGTTTGGGGGGGGGAATAGGAGGAAGGTAGAAGGAAGACTTATAGCATGCAGTTTAGTGGGACTGTTGGACATGGAGGGATCCAATTACAACCTGGTCCAGACTCCATAATGATTTATCCAGTCTAATTGGAACCTATTAGGGGTCTTGCTTTTTAGTATTCTTCCCTGTCAATTAATAAGCGAGCAGTGAGATATATGAATTGCAATTTTACCTTTTACCCAGAAGCCAGCATGGCTAAAATTATTCTTCATGAAAAGAAATTTAAAATACACCATACCTCTATATTAGACAATGATTTAGACTGCCATTGCTGGATACAAATCCCATCTGTATAATGATACTTACGTATCTGAAGAATACAGTTGTACCGATGAACATTATTGATCTTTGTAGTGCAAATGAAGATTTGTACCTTTAATAACACAGACGGGGGCTAAACCATTGTTTATTTATGCAGTTAATTATATTTACATAACAGTAATATAAAAACTGAGAGCACAGGCTTGGAACAATTGTGAAAGAAAAAATGAACATAGTTCTAACAGTCAAATCTCACTAGTTCTCTCAACTCATGCAGCTCATATTGTCTTAAAAAAGCAGAGTTAATTTGTACCTGAAAATATACTGATTAATTTGATTTATGCTTTCCAACCGATAAGGCTGGATGACTGGTAAACACAGCTTCATTTTGCAGCAAATGGGTTACTAATTTTTATCTCACAGCATCAAAGGACATCACAAAACTTGTTTACTGTATCTAGTTCTAAGAGATCCGCAGTTGTTAAAAGCATTGACATGGAAACTCGAACCTGGCAAGATAAGGCTAAAAATTAGCTGTGGGCACTTCCACTTAGAACAAGTTATACATGGTTGAACAAGATAATTAATTTGCCCAAATCACCGCGACAAAAAGTAAACTTTTTTGTTGTTTGTACTTTCCACATTTCAGTTCCTTTTGATTTCAGTGTTTACTATTTCTAGCTTTCTAAACACACACACACATACACACACACATGTACTAACACAGGAACAGTTCAGTGCATTAAATCACAGATGGGTGACTTGAAACTTTGCCTCCTCAAACCCACTGGAGCTGCATGCCATACCAGTTGCCACTGTGCAAGTAGCAGTAGCAAAATACTCAATGGTTTCCTCACTGATTCCATAGCTCACATTATCTAGACTGTACTGGGACAAAGCAGAGTTAATTTGTATGTGAAAATACACTATTAATTTGATTTACATTTTCCAACAGATAAGGCTGGATGACTGGTAAGTACAGCTTCATTTTGCAGTCCTATTTCTAGCATTGCAAGGTCAGCAGCATCCCATTTTCTCAGATTTCAAAGGTAGAACCTAATGCAAGGATTGCTGCT